GGCAGTCAGCTCATCTTGGTCTCTGTATTTATGTGGCGGCACAGGATGTTGGTGGTAAGCTGAGGTCCAGGGCACTGTCACTTTTCAGTTATTTGATGCAGCTCCTTAATCAAAGGCCTGGTGGAAGAGCACAAACTGCTCTTTTTCAAGGACAGCTGTGCCAGAGCTTGTGACTGACCCAAGGTCACATCAGCAGGTGCAAGTGGAGGAGTGGGGAATCAAACCCGGTTCTCCCAGATTAGAGTCCGCACACTTAACCACTACACCAAATCTGGGAATATGGCCAGTCTGGTGTCTTTAGGACCTGGGAGGGCCAGTTGATTTTAGGACCCTGAACACAGTGCTCTCTGGGGAACGTATGGGGAAAGGTGGTCCCTCAGGTATGTAGGCCCCTGACCATAAAGGGCTTTAAAAGAACCAGCACCTTGAAGCGAATTTGGTATGCTATTGACATCCAGTGCAGTGCTTTCAGCACAGGCTGCATGTGCTCCCCCATAGGGAGGGCCCATCAAAAGCCTGGTTGCAGCATTTTGCACTAGCTGTACCTTCCAGATTTGGGACAAGAGCAGCTCCATGTAGAGAGCATTGCAGCAGTTCCGTCTCGAGGTGACCATTGCATGGATCACTGTTGCCAAGTTGTTGCATTCAAGGTAGGGAACCAACTGCCTAATCAGCTGAAGAGGATAAAAAGCTGACATAGCAGTGGCTGCTACCTGGGCCTCCATTGTTAGGGAGGCATCTAAGAGCACTCCCAAACTCCTAACCTCTAGCACTGACACCAATGGCTTTCCATTGAAGGTCGGGAGTGAGATCCCTCCTCAGCTCAGGCACAGGAACTCCGTCTTCATCGGATTTCATTTCAGTCAGGTCAGTCTAAGCCATCCAGCCATGGGTTGCAACGCCCGATCCAGATCTTCTGGTTGGGAGTCAGACTGGCCACCTAACAACAGATAGAGCTGGATGTCATCCTCATATTGGTGACATCCCAGCCCATGCCTCCGGGCAATCTGGGCAAGGGAGCGCATGTAGATGTTAAATAACATCAGGAACAGCACCACCCTTTGGGGCACTCCACATATCAGTGGTGTCTTTGGGATAGCTGTTCCCCTAGCGCCAACCTTTGTCCCCGACCCTGAAGGAAGGACGCCAGCCATTGCAAGGCATATCCCTGGACTCCAGTGTCAGTGAGGTGGTGGATCAGTAACTGATGGTAGACTATGTCAAACGCTGCCAACGGGTCCAATAACAACAGCACCGCTGATCCGCCCCAATACACATACCTCCAGAGGTTGTCTTTGAGGGTGACCAGTGCTGTCTCTGTCCCGTGGCCCAGGCGGAAACTGGACGGGAAGGGAACTAGAATGGAAGTGTCATCCAAAAAGTTTTGTAACTGGTTTGCCATGGCCCTCTCAATTGTTTTGCCCAAATAGGGCAGATTGGAAACTGGCCAGTTTAGCTGGATCCAGAGATGGCGTTTTCAGGAGGGGACGAACCACTGCTTCCTTGAGTGCCCTAGGGAACAGTCCCTCTGAGAGGGACTTGTTGATAATCTCCCTTAGGACACCCATTGTGGCCAGCTTTAATTTGCCATGATGGGCACAGGTCAAGGCAGCATGTAGTGGGGCATACAGTTAAGAGCAATTTGTCAACTTCCTCCAGGTTGAGCGGACTGAAATAATCCATAATCTGACTAGAAGACATGCATGGAGCCTCGATTTCACTTACTGTCTCAACGGTGGTGGGGAGGTCATGGCAGAGCGACAGGACTTTATCTGCGAAGTAGCTCGCAAAGGCCTCACAACCAATGTCCAGTTCCCTAACATTTGGTCTGCCTTGTGGCAGAACAGTCATAGACCGAATCGTTCTAAATAATTGGGCTGGGCATCTTAGCAGCTTTGACTGCCAACTCATAGGATCTCATAAATGTCCTTGTAATGTTTCTTTAAATGGTTGGTAAGTGTTAGAAGAACAAGGGGGGTGAAAGAGGAATGAGTGAGGTGATTGGTTGGTGACTGAGAGAGTGGGTGGGGCTAGGAGGTGTGTGGGTATGTGGAGAGAGAGAAGGCAGGGTGTTCCGTTAGAAGTCAGCAGTCAGTAGCTGTCAGTTGTTGTCAATCTACACAGCGTCTGAGAAGTAGTCTTCCAACTTGAATCATATAGAGGTGCTGTGAAAGGCATTAAGATTCTAAAAGAGAAAGAAAAGTACTTCAGGGGGCAATTTAGGTAAAATCTAATATTGTCAGAGTATTATAAGAGAGTGAGGGGGGAAAGCTGATAGAGACCTGAGTAAAAATGGAAAGATTTTACTGAGCAACTTAACAAAACATCTTGTAACCAATACGCTTCTTTTACCAAAGTTTTATCTTGTTTATTGTTAACCCAGAGTCTTATCCTCAGAACCACATAATCCAACGAAGGAGCCTTAGAGCTTGGGCACAATACTGTGGAAAAGATTAATTAAATATTGGAATTGTATTCCTGGTGGCAGTATTACATACATTGAGTGAGAAAGAAACAACAAGAAATGTAAAACCACATCATACCTAACCACACCAAATAAAAGAGAGGTACCGGACGCCACTGTCTCTCTAGCTGTCTTAGCTGTTGCTTCATCAGCTGCAACTCCTGGGTAAACCAAGGTGCTAGCCTAGAGTGAAGAACATTAACCATTTGAGATGTAGATGACACCTTGTAGAAGCAACACTGGAGAAAGTATTTACTTGAAATGGAAGTCAGTACTAAAAATGTTTCTTGTAACTCATGGGTGTCGTAGTCAAAATCAGGATTGTAAATATTTTGTTGTACCTGATGCGTGGCAGGGATATAATTGCCAGGTTGGTCACAGGAAATGAAGAAAAAAGAAAATAGATAACATAGTTTATAGGGAAGGTGATATGTACAGTTCAGGACAGTGCCATGACACTATCATCTGTCACATCTCATCACCGAGCAGTGGTGGCTCATTGTTACGGATGAGTAAGTACATTGGGCATTTGAAATAGGTAGATAATGGGATCAATAAGCAATGTATTTGGATGTGAGTCAGCTCTATATACTTGGTTAGTAGCAGTCGTTCAGTACACGTTCACCCTGTCTACCTTCCACTGTGGAACTTGAGTCATGATAGGTTATTTACTAAATATTAGAGAGGCTTGATTTTATTTCAGACCTGTATTGTCATAGGTGAAATTCTAAGGTAAATAAGTGACTGGTGAATTAGCTATGTACATTTACTTTTAAAAGAAACATTAATAACTATTGAGTAAATCTGTTAATCTCAGCTGACTTTAAGAATGTGAAAATATATACACTGAAATGGACTATAATAGTCTCTTTGCTATGTTTACAGATGTGCAGTCAAGGTGGTGGGAAAGGTAAGGAACTGAGCATAACCACAAGCTCAGCTATCTTGGTGTTAAATGGATCTGGGTAAGGCGGTAGCTGCACTGCTTTCCTTTGTCACAGCCACACCCCCTCTGTTGTTTTCCCCACTCCCCGTACCTCACTTCTTCAGTCCAGTTATCAGATTCCTGCTCCAGAATCGGGCTGTCTGGTTGTGGAACACTGTTGTATTGCCACATCACATTGCCTTGAGTTGTCTGTTGCAGAGCTGTCATGGCAGGTCAGGCTGTGGTTATATTGCTCTCCTGTGGATGTATCGCGCAGAGCCATAGTGTGGCTGATCTTGTCGACAGTTAGGACAGGCAGGGGAAATATGAATGCAGTTGAAATGGCTCTTGTGGTTTGTTTTGTAATCTGTAAATTGGACTTCAGACACAAGAACATAAGAGAAGCTACGCTTGATGAGGCCAGTGGCCCATCCAGTCCAATACTCTGTGTCAGACAGTGGCCAAAACCAGGTGCCATTAGGAGGTCCACCAGCAGGGCCAGAACTCCAGAAGCCCTCTCACTGTTGCTCCCCCCCCCCTTGCAACAAGAATACAGAGCATCACTGCCTCAGACATAGTGTTCCCTTCCCTCTATACCTTGTGGCTAATAGTCACTCAGGGACCTCTGCTCTATATGTTTATCCAGTTCCCTCCTGAAACTGTGTGCATTGCAGCAGCAGCCACCACTTCCTGCAGCAGTTAATTCTACATGTTTGGGTCAAGAAGACGTCAAGGCTTGAACTGTTGCATGTGATTCTTGTCCATTCTCAGCTAGGACTGAAAACATAAATGGCTCCCTAACAAGAACTCTCTAAGCATTTTATTTTTATATATCTATATTTATCTATATGTCCGAGTGTGAGAACATATGATTTGTTTCAGAGTTATGCATCATTTAAATTTTCATGCTCTTGAAACGTGAACTCTTGTATTCGTGCATGTTAGTAGGCATATGCTGGCAGGTGTTAGTATAATACATATTATGTTACCTATTATGTTACCTGTTGTGCAATCTATTTGAGTGGGCAACTTTTCAGACCACTTCTGTCAGTTTTAGTGTGGAAATCCTGCTTTAAGCTGCCTAACTTTCTAGTTATGTCACCCCGGTTGTCTACTATTATTATTGTGGCATTCTGTTGTGCTAGGATGGCTGCTGTGGCCTCTGTCCTTCAAGAATTTTAGGACTGAGGCATCCATGGGAGACTATGGCTGGAATGCAAAGAGCCTTAGGAGCAAGTGGAAAACATTTTGACATGCAGAGGGGTGTGTGGGTGGGTGTGAGTGAGAGAGATTGAGAGATTGAGACTGACTGACCAACAAAGACTCTTTTCTTGGCTGTGTCTCTTTGTACCACAACACATCCTGCTCTGGAGAAGCCCAAAACTTTAGAAGAGGCCAGTCCTGGGAATGAAGGTTCATTATTCTAACACTTTTAGAGACACTGAGACACTGAATAATCGTAACGCGTTCTACCTCCTTGCTCTGTAGTAATACTCTGTTGAGTATATTTTGTTGCCCATACAATAACCCAAGAATGTTACATGACCAAGTAGAGCTTGATTTAATAACAATCAGGTGGGCATGACTAATTATGGAATTTTCCTTTTCTAGAGAACTTTCCTGTATGGATAATCCTAAAAGTGATGTGGAAACTGGAAAAAAACTACAGTAACCAAAGTGACAATGAGTCGGTTATCAGACGATCCAGAAAATGCCCACGGCAGCAGTCTGGGCTCCTGTCCTTCTTTACGGGATGTTCATTCCATCAACCCCGCACAGCTGATGGCAAGAATTGAGTCCTATGAAAACAGAGAGAAAAAAGGCATATCTGATGTCCGAAGGACTTTTTGTTTGTTTGTCACCTTTGACCTCTTATTTGTAACCTTGCTGTGGATAATAGAGTTAAATGTGAGTTGCTTAACAAATATTCTTGGCTTGGAGAATTGTTCCACTACTTACTTAACTAATATTTTAAAGTAGAATTGTGTTTTTATAATAAGTGAATGGTTTAGTCCAGTGGTCATTATTGGAAAAAATGTTATCATTTGGTAGACCAGTTCTTTAGGGTATTTCAGTCTTTGTTCAGATGGTTACCTTATACCCAGTGTCCCAGTCAGAAAATAATCAAGGGAAAAACCCAGTCATTCAATTAGTGTAATAAAATAATACAAAAGTACATGGTACATGCTAGTATATGGGCCACATAACACAGCATGCATTATCATAGCTTGAAGGATGTAGAACCAGAAAAGTTATGACTTTAAAATAGGAGCCAGTTGTCATTTAATCTAGTTTGGAAAGTCATACAAGAAAATGGTCCATTTTGTTGATTTGATCTCTGTCCTGCCTTTAGATCTGGAAAGTTGCCTGACACAGAATACTAAAAACACAGTGAATCTGGGGATGCTTCCCTCTCATCTGACATGCCACTCTGGGGTGGCGTCCCACATAACTATGTTTTCATCAAGCCCTTCATACACCTCTTTCATCTAGTCTCACTCTTTTGGGGACAGTTGGATAGTCAGTTACCAAGGTGTATTCCCTTTACTCCCTTCCCACGGGATGGCTGGTCATTTCCCTGTTGAGGGGGAGGAGCCAGGTACAGTAGCCTTGCTTTGGCTGCACGATCGCTATATTTGAACTATGCGATAGAAAAAGAGGAAGCACTTAAGCAGAGCAGCACCTCTGAAGGCTCTGTTGTTATCAGGACAACCTGGACATACCATTCTTCTTCCTGTGCATGGACTGGAGCAGCACGTTTTTCTCATTGTATTTCATCCCCTGCCCCCAGCAGTGTGGCTTCCGAGTGGGATGAGAATGTTGGATCTTCTGCTCATAAAATTGTTGTCTAGTCTGTGAGCTCTCTGGGATTTCTGTGGGTATTTGGAATTTTAGAACTCTCACATTTCTCTATAAGATCTTAGGCAGCTTAAATATTGAGTATGTAATGGAGAGGTTGCTTCTGCAAAAGAGTGGGAAAAATGACGGCCGTGTGCCATGCTGTCAGGCTACAAATTTGGTAGATGTATGCCAGCGGTGTTGTGGAAAAAGCAGTATTGTTCCTTTGATTGTTAAGGAGGAGTGGAAGGACCCTTTCTCTTAAGAGAAGCCTTTGTCAAAAGTGTTTCTTGTGTTCAGAATTAAGAAAATAAATCTATTAGTGGTTAAAAGGGTGAAATCCTATGCATGTTTTACTCGGGAGTATGACCCACTAGACTCAGTGTGATTTACCTCCTTTGCGTAAATACAGATAGTGGCCTACGCTTTCATTTGTTAAACAGCTTCTATATCTGTTGATGCACAAATCTTGTAGGAATCTCTCCTCAGTGGCTTACTTTTAGAATTGTTTGGTGTGGTAGCTTGCAGAGTAATTAGGTAATATCTTCAAAGCAAAAATATTACCTGAACCAGGAATCTTTCTACATGTTCTTTATATTTAATTTTATGGTAATTATGATAGTTAATATGTGTAGGCTGAGCTGGTTTTAAACATTTTATGGAAGCCTGGCAGTATGTCTGAAGTGCTAGAAGTGCAATGATTAGCCGGTAATTCAGCATTTATGTAGCAGTTATTTGTTCCTTGTGCTTCTGACATTCTCAGTAATTTTATTGCTGAGTAAGTTGACAGAGGGATTGTGCCATTTCCATATTTTAGAAAGGGGCTGCGATGTAGTAGCTTTAAAGCTCTTGACTGTGTTCATGGCTGGAAGAGATATATACCTGTCTTCTTCTAACCTGAGCTACACTACAACAGCTTACATTGATATATCTATCATCTCTCTCTCCCTCCCCCCCCCCCCCCAGCCCCGACCCGCGTCCGCTTTCAACTAACGCCTGCCCATGCACGGAGAAAGAGGTATTTCTGTCAATTTGGCAGGCCCCCCCCCCCCAGTTTTGCAGAAAAATTTGAGAACGTTAAAAAAATGGATGGAGAGGGGATGCCTCCGTCAGCCTACTGTCCTCTGCAGCAGCTGTGTGTGGGAGACAAGAGGAGGTGGAGGGGGGATGGTGGTGCTGCAGTGGAGGGAGGAGAGCAGGAACTACCACTGCTGTGCTAAGGGGGGGGGGATGGAGTTAAACAGCTTCTATATCTGTTGATGCACAAATCTTGTAGGAATCTCTCTTAAGTGGCTTTCTTTTAGAATTGTTTGGTGTGGTAGAGTTGGGGATGAGTAGGCAGGCAGACCATTGGGGGGGGCAGGTAAGCAAGCTTCCTTCTCCCCTGTGAGTTTCTTGTGCATGAGCCTCTTCTTTCATCAGGCTGGCGAAGGCAGCAGCACTACAGTCAGAGAAGTAAGTGAGCAGAGGCGGGGGGAGAAGGCTGGGATACCTCACCCCTGGGAGCCAGCATTGCCACCCCCCACCACCGGGGCACCACAGTAGGGGTGGAGATGGAGGAGGCAGAAGGGGAGGATGACTGAGGGGCTTGGTGATAGCATGGAGCAGGTGGGCTGTCAGGTGAGTGAGTAAATGGGGCAACCGCCAGGCACTGTCATCTCTGAGATTGCCCTCTCCTATGAGTTTCTTGTGGGTTATCGTATATGGCTGAAAAGGCTTCTTTTTCACATTAAAAGTATATCAGTAGGCATGTATCTGTTGAAATGATACCACAAGTCCATTAAGGAAAGTACAGAGGCTGGATATTCCAAACTACTTCTCTTATTATCATTGCACTATAACTTCAGTAAGTGACAAATGATATTGCTTGACTTCGTGACCTCTGGCAGAGGTGCTGTTTAAAACCTTCCATTCTGCTAATGTTGAACTAAGCTTGACAGGTGTAAGATTAACAAGCCCTGCAAGTTGTGACTGCGGGGGTGCTTCCTCTAGGGATTTAAAAAAAAACACCAGTTATCTCTGAATAACATCTAGTGGCCTCTTCAGTTGACAGTTGCAAGTGCTGTTGCTCTGATCTTATGAGAATAACTGCTTATTGCAGCAGTCCATAGAATTGCAGCGGTAGGAGAGAGGGGTTGTGTGCATTGGTGCTCTTGTCCCTCTTCCAAACTGTAGTACCTTTGCATTGCTGCTTAAGTTCCCATCCTCACTCCCACCCTGAATTTGTTAAAGCAGCTGGAAATAAGGGACAGAGGTGCTGCACTTCAGAACTAGACAACCAGAGCTTGCGTGCCTGTAAATAACCCTCTGCATGCAAACGTTTTGCCTCTCTTGATGTCTGCTGTTGCCTCAGTTAAAATATTAGGGGAAAAAATTAAGCCCACTGTAACCCAAGTATATGAATAGCTGCATTGGAGAGACAGCTTGAGCAACACTCTTGGGATGGACTTGTTCTTTTTTTAAAAAAACCCTGCTTCTGTAGGCACTCTAGTTGTATAAGCGATTTACAATGGAGTCCTGAGCTCATGGGAAGGAGACTGGCATTGCCTGTGTACATGTGAGTAGACCATTTGGGGGGGGGGAGCCAGGTCCCACCCCAAACATCTTCAGAGTATCATCAGAACCATCTCTTGAGAAGAAACACAAATATTTTCTTCTTTGGTGCCAGGGAATTGGTAGTCTAGAGATTCCAGCCAGTTTGCAGCTTCTGTAAGCCGAAATGAAAAAAAAAAACACACTACCCTTCTTAGATTCTGTAACTCACATTTGTTGTTCTGTACTGTGCCCGTGAGTGTAGGGAGAAGCAAAATACTTTGCACGTCAGCCCTGTAACAATTTTAAAAAATCCATTTATTGCAGCTAGAGGGTGAGATGGAGAGAGAATGCTTCGCTTAAGGCTACCTAGTGAGTTCACGGCGGAGGCAAGTTTGGGACCAGGGACTTCTTGATTCACAGCTCAGATCTCTTTCTTCAGTAGTTGATATGAGATTCCTGGTTCCCTTGTGCTGATTTCCTTTCTGCTGTATGGCAGAGTAGCAATATCTGTCGCAGTGATTTTGAAAACTGAAAATGTTTGTGAACAAATGTACCTTTTCCAAATTATATTAGTAACCAGAAAATTTTGTCTCTGTTTAGGTAAATGGGGGCATTGAGAGAAACTTAGAAAAAGAAGTCCTCCAGTATGATTATCGTTCTTCATATTTTGATATCTTTGTAAGTATTTTTAATTAATAAACATTTACCTTGCTTGTAGAATTAAACCAGTCTATAGATATAGCTCCTCACCAGAGAACCCTGGTACGTTCAATACATAGAAATCACCACATTTCAGTACAAGAGGTACACAGACATCTGGGGAGGGAGTCCTTAATAAAGGGGTCATGACCATAAAGGTGTTGCTCTGATTAATTTTCCCCCCACTGGATGGCACCTTGAACAGATCTTCTTCCTGCAAGTGAGATGCTGAGGTACCACTGGCCTAGGTCTTTTTTACTTTACTTTATTTACAGTCCACGACCAGAATACAAGTAAGTAAGAAAAAGAATGACCATAGCCTGGTAAAATATAAAAATTAAGGTATACAAATATAAGAGTGTATAAAAGTTACTAAAACTAATACTAATACAAATGCAGCAATTTCTAATCTAACTACATAAAAATATAAATATAAAATACAATTAGCTACTATCTTCCACATTAAGTTGGGAAGTATATATAGAATGCAAATGATTTGCTTGGGAGCAGAATTTAGGAACTTTCCGGGTGGTCTCTATACTCACATCAGAGAGAAGTATGTTAATGATCCCGGAGTTGGAGGTGTCAGGACAGAGCTCAAGTAACGGGGAGATAAGGGCAGTATTAGTTTCATTGTAGAAAAAACAACAAAGAAGGACATGTGCCATTTACTCTATCTCACCACTGTTGCAAGGGCATAATCTCTCAGCCCGGGCAATTTTGTTATATCTGCCCTCAATAGCTGAAGATGGCAAAGCTGAAAATCTGGCAAGGGTGAAAGCTCTTCTTTGATTAACATTTTCAAGGTTACATAGATAAGAGGCTGGAATGTGAAGGAAACGTTTGAGGAACAACAGTAAAATTGGATGTTTTTGAAATGTCAGACTGACGTTCAATGTCTTCCACTCTCTGTCTCAAAGATTGTCTAGCTAAATCTCTCCCCATCTGCACAAGAGCTGCAAAAGAAAATCCAAGCTACGCAATTCTAACTTGAACTGCCTTTTGCCAACTGGATTGAAAATCATCCAGCAACATTAAAGGAAGGAGGCCTTGGGGGTTTATATTTATTTTAAGCCAAAGAAAAAGCGAGGAAAGTACAATTCTAGCAGCTACCTTTGGCATACCTGTTTCCAGCCGTACCATTACATTTGAGATGCATTTGGGGACCTGCAAAACAGCCCTCAGGAACTTTGACTGAACCCGTTCCAGAGGGGTAAAACAAGACTGGGGGGGGGGGCTATAAATGTCCCATAAAGTAATTGGGGTAAGATCTTTGTTTTAAAAAGTTTAAGGGCGGCTGGTGCAAAGTGACCCCTCTTGGACCTAAGAAATTTAATTACACGAAGGGCTGTCCTTTCTCCCTTGTCAGCCACATAATTGCTATGAGATGTTTTAACATCAGAAGCTTGCACAACTATCCCCAAATATCTGAAAGAATTCACTTGCTCTAGTCGCTGGCCATTTATTGACCAGTTTCTTAATTTAGGGGCCTAGGTTGTACAAGGCTTTTTTCAGTTCTAATTTGTGAACTAAGAATAATAATAATAAATAATACTTTCGATTTATTGATCGCTTTTTCCCACACACCTGTGGGCTCAGAGCGATTTACAGTTACTCATGACATTTGGACTAACAATACTCATGGGGGATAGGGAAGACAACATACACACACATTGTAGCTGGCCGGAGGATTCATCTGTGGGCTGGATCAGTCGTGTTCTGACGGCATGTATTCTTGTCGGCTGGCTGATGACGTCAGGGCTTCTTGATGTCGCGCTGCCACACTGCCACCGCCTGTCCGACTCACTCCACTGCAGGGATGCTGAAACAGATCTTTCATCTTTTGATCTTGCCGCGCCATAGAAGTCACATTCGGTAGCTAACACCTTCCCCAAGGGAGTGGTGTGCCCACCCCCTTACGGGTGGTCCCCAATTTATCTACTTGCCAAAGCTTTCGAATCGCTGGGTAGATAATGAGCTAGGACAAGGCTTGGTTGCTCGCACCAGAATGGTGCTAGAACTGACAAAGCTTGGCAGTTCAGATGTTATAGTTTATTGTGTCCATACGGTGTTTTCTGTTTGTAATGTGAAGACTCCTTTGGCAATTCTTGCAAGCAGGGGCCCCTTGAGGAGTCCTGGGGGGGAGGGGGCATCCCACTATCCCCTCTCCTGCTGGTTTCTTTGGGCCCTCCTGTGATAAGTCTCTGCCTACCAAATGGTGGGTGGAGCTGGCTTGTCGCAGAAAACCTGTCCATGCTCTGCACTCCAGGACCGTAATCAACTGGCCATATAAATCCATACCGGCTTTGAAGCTGAAAGTGCTGGGGGGGAGGTTGCTCCAACTCTCCACCCCCCTTGGCACTGTTTTCAGCTCCAGGCTCAGACTCGCAACCAGCTGGTTGGAAATGGCTTGTGGGAGGGAGTCTTGGAGTCAGATTTGCACCCTGTGCCCTTCCTGCTCCAGGCCCATACTGGCTCTGCTGGCCACCTGATGGGCGGGAGAAGTTTGGAGAAGCAAGCGTGCCAGATATGTGGGTCACAGGCAACGTTCCCTCTAAGCTGTGGAGTCTTGTGAGCAAAGATTCTACTTTGTGAGCTCCTGGCATTAAAGTTGTGAGTGAGCAATTTGGCTACTGCATAGATTAGTCTGCTCTGGAGCCATCCTTCCTGAGCTAAGATAAAAATGTGTGAGCCGGAGTCTAAAAAACTGTGAGCTGGCTCACACTAACTCAGTTTAGAGGGAACACTGGTCACAGGTCCTGTCTGCACTGCTTGTCTGTCCTGTCATCACCACCAGCACTGCCTTCTCTCCTCTCTCCTCCTCTGATCGCTAGTGTGGCATTAGCCTGCCCCTTCTCCCTCCTCCACAGCCTGTCCTGTCACCATCTTCTCCTGCTGCCCCTTGCGTTCTTTAACAGCCCAATGCCAACTGTAATCTTGGTCAGTATCTTTTGAAGTTTCAGTGTGTCAGCTACAACTGAATTTTCCCTGCCTTTCTCAGGTTTTAAATCTCTCTCCCATTTCTTTTCTTTTTTTAACAGTATTTTATTAATTTTTGTACATACATTCAACACATACATATTCAGGGGGAAATATTCAAATAATTATAATGCTTATGCCTAATAACTAAACCATGTTGGTCAAATGTTCATCTCAAAAAAAAAATTTTTTTCACTCATTGCCAATATAACAAAATTCTTCTCTTGTATCCTCACCGATGTATTGTTTGACTATAACTTTAAATTATTATAATTTTCCAACCAAGTGTAGAACCTTGTCCATGTATTCTCAAAAGTTTTTTTCTGGGTATTCTTTCAATAATAAAGTCAATTTATGCATTTCCACTGTTTCCAGGATTTTATTTATAATCTCTTCTTTAGTAGGGATTTCCACTCTTCTCCAGTGTTTTGCATATAAAATTCTAGCAGAAGTAACTACATACAAAATCAAATAAGAATCATTTTTTTACAGCTTTCAGGTAAAATATTTAACGAGAATATTTCTGGTACAAAGGGTATAGAACATTTTAACGTTTTCTGCAATATTTCAGGTATCCAGCCCCAATATTTTTTGGCTTTGTCACAAAACCACCACATATCCCACCTTATTTTGACATTTCCAACATTGATTTGAACAATTTGAATCAAAGTTAGCAAGTTTGGGGTAATATACCATCTATAGAACATCTTATATATATTCTCTTAAGAGATGGCTTTAGTCATTTTTATATTTTTCTTCCAAATCTGTGACCATTGATCTAAGTCTATATTATGGCCCCAATTTTTTGCCCATTGAATCATTACATCTTTCACTACTTTGTCTTGCATCCTGTATTCTAACAACAAAGCATACATTTTTTTAATAAAAATTTTTCCACATACAAAAGAGTCTTATCTATTTCTAAAGGGTTATCATAAAAGCCTAACAGTTTATCTTTAGGATATCTAGATTCCATTTGTACCTTTTGCCACCATGTAAAACTCTGAAGCGATTTCAAATTATTCTTACAGTCTAGAATATGTTGATATCCTGTTGTTTGTTCTTCTTGGTACACGTTAGGATTTGTAAAAGTGTCCGAAGGTGCAACCCACTTTGGAAGTTTGTTGTAAAATTGAATCTTTGTTGTCTCCCATACTTTCATTAAGGAAGCTCTAATCCAGTGTTGCTTAAAATATTTTTGACAGTCCGCTTTCCCATACCATAAAAATGCATTCCATCCTAGTAATAAATCATGTCCTAGTTTTAGCGATCTCTGATTTTCTAGCGTAAGCCATTCTATAATCCTCTTCAGTGCTGCTGCTCTATAATAAAGTAACCAGTCTGGAAGGGAAAAGCCTGCTCTATCTTTGGAATCTTGTAAAGCCTTAAGTTTTATTCTTGTTTTCTTCCCTTGCCAGATAAATTTTGATAACGTTTTTTCAAGTTCTTTTAAATACTTCTGGTTTAGAATAATCGGTATAGTCTGAAATAAAAACATCAATCTTGGTAATACATTCATTTTAATGGTGGAAATTCTTACCATAAATGATATTTGAAATTGTTTCCATTTTTCCAGGTCTTTCTTAATAGATTTCAATAGTATTCTCCAAAAAAGAGCTCCAACAAATTCAATATAAGTATTCTCCAACAAAGAGCTGCATTTATTTGTTATGTTTATTCCTAAATATTTAATCTTTCTTTGAGCTTCCAAACCTGTTTTTTCTTGTAGTGGGAGAATTTGCGTTTTAACCATATTTTTGTCAATATTTTTGTTTTTTACAGTTAATTTTCAGTCCTGCCACAGTTCCATAGTCTTGCAATGCATTTATCAATATACTTGTAGTGTTAAGAGGATTCTTTAGAATAAACACTAAGTCATCTGCATATGCTAAAAGCTTGTACTCTTCTCCTCTTAGCTTAAGGCCTAAAATGTGTCGGTCCTTTCTGATTACATCATTTAGAACTTCAAGAACAAAAATAAATAACAGCAGTGAAAAGGGACAACCTTGTCTCGTTCCTTTATAAATTTCAATATCCTGTGTTAGATTACCATTAATCAAAATCTTTGCTCATTGTTTAATATAGATTGCTTCAACCATTTTCTGGAAATCTGTGCCCGCTTGAGCATATGAAAGTATTTCAAGCATAAAATTCCAGTTAACATTGTCGAAGGCCTTCTCGGCATCTAAAATAATCAAAGCCATTTGTTTTTCTGGGTGTGCTTCATAATATTCCAAGACATTTAATATCATCCTCACATTGTTCTTCAGTTGTCTTTTCGGTAGGAAGCCCGCTTGATCTTTATGGATCATCTGAGACAATGTTTTTTTCATTCTATATGCCAATATTGAAGCGTATATTTTATAGTCTACGTTCAATAACGAAATAGGTCTATAATTTTTAATTTCTTTCTCATCAGCATTCTGTTTAGGTATCAGTGTTATCAAAGCTTCTTTCCAAGAATCTGGTGTCTTCCCTTCTAGTCTTACGTTTTGACATACTTCTTTAAGAGGGATTATTAGTTGATCTTCAAACAGATGATAAAATTCTGCTGCTAACCCATCTGGGCCTGGAGTTTTCCCTTTTTTTGTTTCTTTATAGCGTCTGACAATTCAGCTAATGTTATTGGTTGGTTTAAAAATTTTCCTTTGTTCCTCTGAGAATATTTTAGGTTTATTTAATTCCAAATAGTCTTTGATTTGTCGTTGAGATGTTTGCGTTCTACTATATAATTTCTGGTAATACCATTCCACTATTTTCTTTAGATCTTCCAATTTATTTCTTCTCCCATTTCATTTTTTATTATCTTTATAATTTCCCCCCTTTTCTTTACATAGTTTATAAGCAAGCCATCTAGTTGATTTATTCCCATTTTCAAAGTAATTTTGCTTAGTCTATCTTATATTCTTTGCTATTTCCTGTATTAACAGACAAGTCATTTGATGCTTGCAGGAGTTTAAGTTTTATTTTTTCTCTGTTCATTCGTTGGGTCTTGCTATATCTTTTCTTGTTTTTTGATCTGAATTTGTATTTGGGAGTAATTTGTATCTGGGATCTCCCATTTCTTGATCCACACTCTGGGGTTCGTTCAGGATTGGGTATACTGATTAATAGTTTAACTGTTTTTAATTGTAATAATGATGGTGGAAAGCACCATCCAGTTGCAGCTGACTTACAGTGACCTTGTAGGGTTTTCAAAGCCAGAGATGCTCAGAGGTGGCTTGTCATTCCCCTTTCACCTGCCTAGCAACCCTGGACTTTCTCAGAGGTCTCCTGCCCAAGTACTGAGCGTGGTCCACTCGGCTTAGCTTCTGAGCTCTGATGAGATCGGGCTAGTCTGGACTATTTTGGCTGCTTTAATTGTCATACATACTTTTGAAAGCTTGTTTTGATGTTTTTGACTGTTCACCGCCCTGAGGACCGTAATTTGGGTGGAAAGAGGGCATAAAAACATTTTAAATAAATTGAAAAATATTTTTATCATGGAACTTAATAAGCTTATCAGATAATTCTTTTGAAAAAAATTTAAAAAACCCCACCTGAGCCCATTCTATGTATTTGTTTTAAAGTAGGTGGACATGGTTGGAAACTGCTCCAAGAATTTGGGGTGTGGAATTGTGGGCCCTGGCTGCACAGCTGCTGTGATGTCCTCGTGGTCACAGGCGTTGCTGTGGTCAGAGTGTGGCCTGGGGTCTGGACCATCATTCTGCCTTGGAAGCTGATTGGGTGACCCTGGGCCAGCCGCCTTCTCTTTGCCTTCCCTCCCTCTTGGGGCTGCTGCTGTGAGGGTAAAATGGTGGAGGGGAGGATGGCATTGCAAGCTGCTTGGGTCCCCAGCTGGAGAGAGGAGGGGGCTGCAAGTATCTAAATGTTCACCAATCAAGAAATCAAGCTCACATGTCATGCATCGTGGCTTCTGAGGGAAGTGCAGTGTCAGCGGGGCTGAGGCGAAGCTTCATGTGAGTCTTGGGCCAGCAAGAACTACAGTGCTGATTTGGCATGAAGAACGGGAAGAAATCCCCAGATAAAGGGGAAATAAGGGGGCAGGGCACCCAGAGACTTGGCGGCTGGCAGAAGAAGGCAGGGTAGGATATCTGCTTGGCAATGGGATGGAGAGAAGAGACTGGGAGTTGAGATAAAGAGACTGAATGGAGGGGATTGTGGGAAACATCACAGAGGCAGGAGACCCGAAGAAGAGGGTTGGGAGAACGACAGAGGGGCCCTGCTGCCCTAGGATGCAAATGAATCTGGTTCTTCTGGAGCAAGGCCCCTTGGAGGATGTGATTTATTACTGGTGCAGTATATTAAGCTATTGTGAAACTCGCCCCAGAGGGTTAACTCAAATGGCTTACCTGGCTGATCAAGGCATTGAATGATTCTCCAAAAAAAAAAGTTTAAGTTTGTAAGCGGCCATGGTTAAAGAGAAAATGTGCTGTCTGCAGTGTTGTGAGTGATGACTGTGACTAAAGCAGGGTGACTGACCTCATAAAGTGTAACCACCTCGCTTGTGATGTTAAGGAAGTAGTTAAGAAATCAGAGGAGAGAATTCCCCTCTGCTAAGCCTGAAATAAGGAAGTGGCAGCCTGAAGCTGCTGGAAGGGCCGTGTCTGTGTGTGTGTGTGTGCAGAGCTCTTCTGTCTCCAGGGTGTCTTGGGAGGAGTAGATTCGGGTGGGGAGCCCTGTTGGCCTGAAGCAGCAGAACAAAGTTCAAATCCAGTGGCGTCTTTAAGACCAACAGAGTTTTATTCAAGGTGTGAACTTTTGTGTGCAGGCACACTTCTTCAGGTACAATGAAATGGAAGTTACCAGTCCATGCATATAGGCAAATTAGCATACAACATTATTAGCAGCAAATTAGCATACTACATAATTGAAGATGTACACATTATATGCCAACCCCTGTTATACATTATATGCCAACCCCCTATATGCATGGACTGGTAACTTCCATTTCATTGTATCTGAAGAAGTGTGTGTGCTTACAAAAGCTCATACCTTGAATAAAACTTTGTTGGTCTTAAAGACGCCACGGGGGTCCAACTTTATGCCATTGGGAGAGGAGAGGTAAAGAGGGAAGGGCAAAGCAGTCATGTACATCAAAATACTAATAATCTTTGGTGTCCGATTTTTATTTAAATCCTTAAGTCCTTTCTTTTTCTCCTCATTGTAGCTCCTGGCAGTATTTCGATTTAAATTTCTGATACTTGCATATGCACTGTGCAGACTGCAGCACTGGTGGGCCATAGCAGTAAGTAGTCGGTTTTTGAACTGAATTTTAAGATGTGGAGCGATGTTTTCTGGCCATTCCCATACTCTGTTAATACTCTGTCTGAGGCCCTAATAAGGTAACGATGTTTACAGCCAATGACACTGCAAAAATGTCTCAGTGAGGAGCAGCGTACAGTTCCTGCAATGAGAATAATAGATAAGCTAGGTATGATCGGGTTATGTCCAGCAAATCTTCTGGAAATGGGTCTGAGTAAAGCAAAATCTTTAGTTCATCAGCGCTTGGTTGATATTGAGGTTCAAACTGATGAAGCGCTTTTACCCAAGATGTACAGTAACCTAAAATCTTGGCCTGGATTTGCAGCAGCACCCTATCTCTTTAACATTACATATGAAAAGTATAGATGGGCTTTTTCTAGAGCGCGTTTTGATGCCTTCCCCTCTAACTTACTGCAAGGAAGGTACCTCCGTTGGCCTATCCATCAAAGATGTTGTCTATGTGCAGATAAAGACGTTGAAACAATCACACACATTCTTTTGCATTGTAAACTCTATTTCAGAGAGAGACACCAGCTAATTTTTCCTTTACTTGCCCAATTTAAACCCTTGGACAACTATTTGAAATTTGCAGATACTGTGCTGCTGAAATATTTGTTGGAAGATACCAAGAAGTCGGTAACTCTGGGAGTAGCAAAATATTGCTTTTTAGTAATAAGCGAAAGTTTTTAACATAAAGCACAGACTGAAGAGAATTTTAGACAAGACTTAGAATTTAGGGAATGGAATTACGATCTTAATTGGGGGTCTGTGGCTGGCACTATGATGGTACTATTGTCTGTGAGTGTTGGTGATCGTACTTGTTTATTATTGCATTGTTTTACTGCACTGCTGGTCAATTGGCCATAATACTAATAAATTTGAAATTTGAAAGTTCCTGCAATGATACTCTGTCACTGGGATTTATGGCCTAGTTTGAGGACCTGGTTGCAACTGCTTTTCTCTTGTCGCTTTGCCTTTGTCGTCTGTGCAGGGATCAGGCATGTGCTCAGAAGCACTTGCTTCTTCATTGGTTTTTCCCTCATCAGAATCACATGGCCATTCCAAACAAACTGAAGGGAAAGGGGGGGACAACCATGCCCCCCCCCATTATGGATGTCTCTAAATGGTCTGGAGGCAGATAGTGACAACAGTATCAACAGGATTTCAGTGCAAATCCCTCGTTTTGGTTGCCAGCACCCTGATACTAAGGCTTTTCCTTGGGTTTTGAAGGAATCATTTCCTATTCTTTTTTTCCATTGACCATTGATTCTTGTCTCTGCTTCCTGAATCTGTTTCTTTTTGGGGGTGGGGCAAATAAACTAGTCTTGCTTATCTGTAAAACATTTTCATGCACTGGGTCTTTGTTGTGGGGGACAACTTGTAAAGTGTAGGGA